AGCACACAATGCCACTTCCAGCTTTTTCTGTTTATGTGGTAATGAGGAGCTGAACCCAGGGCTTCATGCATGCTAGGCAAGCACTCTACCACTGAGCCACATTCCCAGCTCTGGCCTCCTAGGATTTTTTTTTTAATATTAATGTGCACAGAATACATTTCATTTATTCTTTTTCTTTTTGGTACTAGTGTTTGAACTAAAGGCCTCCCACTTGCTAGCCAGGCACTCTATTACTTAAGTCACTCCACACACAGCACTTTTTGGAACTAACTAGAAATCTACTATTTATACCAGGTAATTTACTTCTTTTAACTTTTATATTATAGAAAAATTTACACATCTTCAAAAGAAAATATACAGTATAATGGACTCCCATAGAGATAGTCACTGGCTTTCACAATGTTCATCTCTTGGCTAAATGTAAGCCACTAGCATGACCTCTGTGGTAGCATATCAATTATCTGTGTATCTATGTATGGAAAATGAGGATTACTTTCTCTTTTTCCTATTATATTTTGTATCACAAGCAATATCAGAGCCATGACCCAGGGGTTCATGCCTGAAATCCTAGCTACTCAGGAGGCTAAAATCTGAGGATCAAGGTTCAAAGCCAGCCCAGGCAGAAAGTCTTTGAGACCCTTATCTCCAATTAACCAGCAAAGAAACAGAAGTAAAAGTATGGCTCAAGGGGTATAGTGTGCCAGGCTTGAGTGAAAGAACTAAGGAAAAGCACAAAGCTCTGAGTTCAAGATCCCACCTTCCACGCATGTGCGGACACACACACACACAAATCAATCATTGTAGAGTATACTTACTTATTCATTTATTTATGTTGGTACTTTTAAAACACACAGGAGCAGCTGGGTACTGGTGGCTCATATCTATAAATCTAGCTACTCAGGAGGCTAAGATCCATTATTGTGGTTGGAAGCCAACCTAGGCAGGAAAGTCTGTAATTCTCTTATCTCCACTAAACTACCAAAAAAGCTGGAAGTAGAACTGTAGCTCAAGTGGTAGAGAGCTAGCCTTAAGCAAACACAATCTCAGGGACAGTGTCCAGGCCCTGAATTCAAGCCCCAAGACTGGTGCACGCGCGCGCGCACACAAACACACACACACAGAAGCACATTAGAAAAAAAATTCTCTGTCTTTCTCTCTCTCTCTCTCTCTCTCTCTCTCTCTCTCTCTCTCTCTCTCTCTCAAAACACTGCTACCCAGTAACAATGATGTGTATGCCAATGAGTGACATTTTGTGTACAATAAACTACAATACATATTATAATGTATTCGTATATAACACAATGTTAATACCATTATTATACCCTAAGAAATTTAGTTTCCTAAAATCATCAAATAAGCAGTCAATTCTTTTTCTTTTTTTTTTTGGGGGGGGGTCCAGTCATGGGGCCTGAACTTGGGGCCTGGGTGCTGTCCCTCAGCTCTTCAGCTCAAGGCTAGCGCTCTATCACTAGCATCACTTCCGGCTTTTTTCTTTTTGCTTATGTGGTGGAGGAATCGAACCCAGGGCCTCAGGCATGCAAGGCAAGCGCTCTACCACTGAGCCACCTTCCCAGCCCAATTCTTTTTAAAAATATTGTATTATTATACAATTGTAAGTGATCAGTGCAGAAAAGTTATACAAGAAAGAATAAATCGGGCGGGGTAGGTGGCTCAGTGGTAGAGCGCTTGCCTTGCATGCCTGAGGCCCTGGGTTCGATTCCTCAGCACCACATAAGCAAAAAGAAAAAAGCCAGAAATGGCGCTGTGGCTCGAGTGGTAAAGCGCTAGCCTTGAGCTGAAGAGCTCAGGGACAGCACCCAGACCCAGAGTTCAGGCCCCACGACCGGACCCAAAAAAAAAAAAAAAAGAATTAATCATCCATAATTCCTTTACCCAGAGATAATATTAACGTTTTAATGTCTTTGTCTAATATCTCTGCTTTTGAAAGCAGCTTTCATGAAATGTGATTCTCATACTATAAAATCCATCCGTTGAAGTGTGTAATTCTAAGGTTTTTTTGTCTACTCACAGGATTGTGCAGCCATTACCATAATCAATTTTAGAGCATTTTTAATATCCCAAAAGAAACCCAATTAGCAAACCTGAGCAATCACTTTCCATTTAGCTATAACTGCTGGTACCATCAGCCCAGTCACTGATCCTTTCCTGTTTCTGTGGGTTTGTGCAAGCTGGCTATTTCACATAAATGGAAACCTACAGTGTGTGGTCCTTTGTTTCTGGTTTGCACTTAATGTTATATTTGAGCCCTACCCCTAGTCCCCTTTTCTAGTTTTTTTTGCCAGTAGGGTCTCCTGTTTTAGTCCTGGCTGGTCTCAGATCACAATCCTCCCATCTCTTCTCCAGAATTGCTGGGACCATTACACACAGCCACTGGGGCTTTCTGAGGTAAAGAAATTATTCTAAAATTGATTGAGGTAATATTATATAACTTTGAGTATATTTAAAAATAAATACACTATATAACTTATATGGGCAGTTTGTATAGTATGTGGAACATATTTGAGTAAAGCTATTTTAAATAAAATTATATCAAGCCATACTGGAACAAACCCCCTTAGTTTTAGACATTCAGATTGTTTCAGTAATTTGGTCATCATACCAGATAATCTGACATACCTCTCAGTACATATGCATCTATTTGCTCATATCTGGTGGCTTCAAAAAAAAGAAAAGAAAAGAAAAGAAAGTGAACTCTTTTCCTAGTACTATGTGTTATTATGTTAAAAGGTCTGTCCACTTTGGTTTTGTCTATAAATTCTCAATTTTGATTTTACATAAAAATGTTTTTAGGATTTCTTTTTGCTTTTTATCTTTCTTTCCCCCTATTTTTTTTTCAATGGAACTGGGGTTTAAACTCAGGGTCTTGAATGGAGTGGGCAGACCCTCTTCCATCTGAGTCCCTTCACCAGTCCCCTTTTGAGTTGGTTCTTTTATTTTTTTCAAGATAGGGACTTCAGTCCTCCTATTTATGCTTTGCTGTGTCACTAGAACAACAGGTACATGCCACCACACCCAAATACTAGTTGGGATGAAGTCTTAATTTTTTTCCCCAAAGTAGACGCAAATTACAATCCCCAATCTCCTCCGCTCAAGTAGCTAGAATTGTAGGCTGGAGCCCCCACCCCGGGCTTTATTTTCTCCCTAAAAATTATTTGACCAGTTGAGTATCTGAGTAAGTAAAGCTTTCTAAGCTAAGATTCCATTTCTCTACTGACTTCAAGATAATTCAACAGAACAGGAAAGAATATTAACACACATTTCTCTCATGCTAATAATTAACGAGGGAGAAAGCAAACAGTTTAGTTCATAGAAATCAATCTATAGTTAATTCAGAGATTTCCAAATATTATTTTCATACCTCAGAGAACACCTGGTAACTCCTGTCAAAGCAACGATATAATCCATCCTGAAGTACTAGAACATAGCTGATACCTCTTTCCCTTTCATTTACATGCAGTCATCACTCACTCCCTTACCATCTGAACATTCACAGTGAATGCCAGCATTTGGGCCACAGAAATCAGAAACATTTGTGTACATGTTAAATAAATTTTAGATTTTCTTCATGAATATCAAAGACTTTCTTTAGCTGAGTGCCCCTGGCTCATGCCTGTAATCCTAGCTACTCAGGAAACTGAGATCTGAGCATCACAGTTCAAAGCCAGCGTGGGCAGAAAAATCCATGAGACTCTTATCTCTAGTAAACTACTCTGAAAAGGCCAGAAGTGGTGCTCTGGATCAAGTGGTAGAGCACTAGCCTTAAGCACAAAGAGGCCCAGAGACAATACCCAGGCCCTGAGTTCAAGACCCAGGACGGGGATGGGGTTGGGGGTTGGGGGAGTTTTCTTCCTATATAGGGTAAGTTTGCATCTTGACATCTCTTATTTTAGAAAATGAATACAACTAATGCTGCAGAAAAACTGGCACTGGGGGTAATAGCCATTTAAACTTATTGTTGTTTCCTGAATAATTTACAAGTTTTGTTTTGTGGCAGTATTGAGGTTTGGTCTCAGGACCTGGGCACTGTTGGTTAATTTTTTCTTCTCCTAAAACTAGTTCTCTACCTCTTGAGCCGCAGCTCCACTTCTGACTTTCTATGTGGTTAATTGGAGAGAAAAGTTTCACAGACTTTTCTGCCCAGACTGACTTTGAACTGTGAGCCTTAGATCTCAGCCTCCTAACTAGCTAGAATTAGAGGCATGAGCCCCACCAGTGCCTAGCTCTAACATGAGATTTGGTGAATTCTTCACACACATTTTCAGGGCAGTGTCACACCCCAGGGCTGTGCAGTTAGGATGCTGATGGAAGAACCTTTTCTTGCTGGGAAAAGAACATAAATTAGCCTTGGGAGCTTTGGGCACATTACCAAGATTGGATGAATGCCACTTTTACTTAATTACATGAGATCCTGGATTGTGGGCACAAAGCCCAGCTTAAAAGAAAACTAAATAAAATCCTGATTTTCTTTGACAATGCTTATGAGGGAAAGAAAAGATCCATCTTTCCATCCAGCATAAAATTGAAGAGCCATGAATTGCCAGCTAGAAATTCACATTAATCAGAGTGTCAGTGAGCAACTATAAATTTTGAACTGCTAACTGGACTCTGGAAAGTAAATGAGTCATTTGTACCAGAGCAAACGCTTGTATAGCATGCCAGCTGCAAGCCTGCTTAGCAGCGGCCAGGTAAAAGTCTCGTTTTGCTCCCATGATGAAGGCCTTCGGGACACATAGACTTGCCACTACCCCAGGAATGCCAGCAGTTCTGTTTGGCTTTGATTTATATTTAGCACAATTGAAGAGACGTTGCACCTCGCTCTTAGACTTCCTTGTAGTTGTTTGTTGTTTTTTTTAAGTCATTCTTTGATATCCCTGTTGCTTTTCACTCCACTGTCTTTTATTGACTTCCTACAGGCTCTTCAATTCTTTTTTTTAATCATTGTGACAAAATAGACATATCATAAAATTTGCTGTCTTTAGGAATAGATAATCTCTATGAGAGGGCGCTTCACATCCGAAAACTCCTCCTGACCCTGCCCAGGTCGGTCCTTATTGTGATGAGGTACCTCTTCGCCTTCCTCAACCAGTAAGTACCCTGATGTACCCTCATGCTCTGCCAAAATGTCTACCTGAATTCTGCCAGTGTGCTTGGATCCTATAAACTATTTATCAGCAGAATCAGAGAGAAAATGATTGAATATAGACTGAAAGCACATTTTTCCCCCTCAGATAAAGGCCTTGGCGTGATATATGAAAGCTGTGTCCCAGATGCAAAAACTATGACTGGCTAGAGTTGTGAGAAAAAAAATCCAATATTACTAAAAATAACATTTTCCAGTGAAATGTGTGGGGGTTTTTTTTTCAACTTCCATCCAAAGCTAATGTCATAAAGCGTTTGTCAACGTGATGAAAAACACCTGCTCATTGCAGAAATTTTCTGTAATGTTTAATGTCATAGTCAGGGATGAAGTGAAATTGGAGATGTAACATGTAAAGATTCAAAAATGAATGGCTGCCTATTCCCCATAGTGAGACCTTGTGAAGCAGGAAATATTTCTAAACCAATATAACAAATATCAAAAAGGTACCACATTAGCTGGGTGCTGGTGGCTCATGCCTATAATCTTAGCTATTCAAGAAGCTGAGATGGTGGTTTGAAGCCAGCCTGGGCAGGAAAGTCCATAAGAATCTTATCTCTAATTAGCCACCAGAAAGTGGAAAGTAGAATGTGACTCAAGTGGTAGAATACTATCTTTGAGCAAAAAAGCTCAAGGACCTAGGCCCTGAGTTCAAGCCCCAGGACTGATACAGAAAAAGACAACAGAAACAAAGCAAAACCTCCTATTCTTTTACAGAAACTTTACTCTTTGAATTTAGGCAACTTTTTAGTTATATTACCTCCTGGCATGTAGGAACATCTTGCCCAAGTCATATTCCAAGTTCTCATGTTACGCAATAGTTCAGTTAAATGGTTGGAAATATAGAAATACAGGGCAAGTCAACGGTGGAGTAAGCTTGGGGAAATGTGCTCTCCTCTCAGTCTGGCATGAATTCCCCTTTATAAAATATCCTTCCTACAATATTTTCTCAACTCTTGTTTCACTTGAGGTTTTGCATTATCAAAGCCATGAAGATTTATTACAACCTGTTGGCTAGGCCTGAAATCAAACCCACAACAGGTTGGCTCCAAGAGCCAAGTATTAGGCAATAGGTAAATGCTGGCAGGAACAAAACAGAATGGGACTCTACTGCTTGCCCTGTGGTGCCTAAAATAGTCCCAAATGATAGTAATAGAAGCTATTTCTTCTGAAAGCTGCTTGCTTTATTTTTGGTTGCATGTTTTCCCCCACCCCACCCAGTAGCAATTCTTGCTGGCCCTCTCCTTGCTTTCTAAATTTTTTTTCTGACACATCTGAGCAAAATGAACCACAATTGAGTAGGAAAATCTTCTGTTAATTAAGGAAGTTCTCAAAACCTGAATCCAACTCATCATGAGAATGGAAAATGCACCATGAGTCAGATAATTGGCCTTGCTTCCCATGGTTCTACCCAAAGATGGCCTCCTGCTCCTGTTATCTGCTTTCTTCCAGAGATCAGGACCCAACCTTTAGCTCAGGACACTTGAGAGAGGAATTTTGCACAGAAAGATTAATCTTTTCTATTGTAGAATTCAAAACTTGGAAATACTGTTTTTTTTCTTTTATTGCTATGAATTGGTTATACAAAGGAGTGTTAGTCTAACAAATCTGTTTATGTATAAAAGGCTTCTTGTTCATAATCACCCCTCTACCGTAGTCTCTTCTTCCCTTCTTCCCCTGGAAATGGCATTTTTACATCAAGCTTTGGCCAGGATTAAAATAAAACCCTGGGAAAAGATTGTGATTCTTCTCACTGAGCTCCAATGTGTCATTTGTTAGTCTGTTTTTATTGATTCATTTATTTAGGTACTAGAGCTTGAACCTCAGGGCTTTGGTGCTGTGCCTTGATTTTGTTAAGTCTGTCATTCTACTACTTACGCCACAGCTTTAATTCCCCAGCATGTCTTTTGACAATTAGACCATTCATACTCTGAATCTTCTCCCCGATGCTCCCATTTTCAAAACGATCTGTAATGTGATCGTTGGCTGTTAGTGTGAACTTCTTTTTATAAGACTGCATATTTGAGACCTGGCAGAAGGGAAGCACATATGTTAGCTGTGGAAATGAAGCTTTTGCGCTTTCCCCTTTCTAGAATATCTTATTTCTGAAAAAAAGGGTAAAAGATCATGTCAAGTGGTATCTCAGTTCCTTTGTGTCTCATTATCTCCTTTGTGACTGTCACTGAGTCTCCTTTTTCTCCTTCACTTGTCATCTGTTCACCTGGATTGTACATTTCCTTTCAAGACTGACATTCTATACACTCAGAGATAACGTCTCCCAACTGCCTATGAAAGCAACTTGCTCATGTATATTAGAGACATCAAATAAAGAGCCAGCTCTTTCCAAGTCACCTGTGAAAATATTTCACAAATACCTATTACACTGCATTTGTAAATTAGCATGAGACAACTGGAAATCATCTACCAAAGTGTTCCCACCTTAAATGAAGTTTTTAAGTGAAAGATTCTCTTCTCCTTCTCTTGCCCTTTAATGTCTTTTTTACCACAGGATTGCCTTCTGGTGTTGACAGATTTACCTAAAAGAGATGATAAAGCCTCGAGTTATTTAATTCCTTTTAGTAGTTACAAAGAAAAGATGCTTTGTTTTCTCCTACGTTTTCTCAAGATTTACAAGGGAATAATAGTGAAATGGGAGATATTTTTGAAATTTAAAACCATCCATAAATCTTTATGGAAATTGTATTGCCCCTTCCAAATTTATGATCAGCATTGAGAGCCTGACATAATATTTACAAATGGATTTCATCTTCTTGTTCCAAGTCTCCATCATCATAGATATTATATTAAACTCTCTTGAAAAATAATACTTCATAAAACAAAGTTTCTACTGAGTTGAAAGTCCTATGTCATTTTACCTTTCCTCCATTGCCCTGGTGTCAGCTGTAAATGGGATGGAATATCATTTTATTGTAACACTAAACGTCAGATAAAATATTTTAGATCCATGTTTGAAAATAATTACTGAGCACTTATTTTCCATCTCCCCTTGTTCTTGTACAACTTCTTCCTATGTCCTTTCATAGTCTTTCACAGTACAGCGACGAGAACATGATGGACCCTTATAACTTGGCCATTTGCTTTGGCCCAACGTTGATGCCTGTCCCAGAAATCCAGGATCAAGTGTCTTGCCAGGCTCATGTGAATGAAATTATCAAGACCATCATCATCCACCACGAGACTATTTTCCCAGATGCTAAAGAACTGGATGGCCCTGTTTATGAGAAATGTATGGCTGGAGATGACTACTGGTAAGTCCAAGAATTTTCATCTTCCCCCTTCCAAAAAACGTTATGGAAGTGTGGCTTTCAACAAGATTTGGCAAATTATTTCCCTATAAGCCACCAATAATTCTAATAGTTTTTAACCTTTTTTAAGGAAGACTTGGTAACATTTAAAATAAGTTAGAATACTACGATCCCCAGAAACACTGACTTTTTATATGAAAGCTCATATTTATCCCTCTCTTACCCTGAGGATTATCTTTGAGAAGAGTCTACCCTGTTGTGGTTTGTTTAGCGAATAAAGCTTTTGATGTTATATGGCTATGTTAACTTTATTGTTACATTAAGTATAGAAAGGATAACTAATTGAATTAATAGCTTTCATTTTTCATTCTGTATGGGGTGTGTGTGTGAGAGAGAGACATAGAGGAAGTGAGAGTGTGTACCTGGGCTTGAACTCAAGGCTTCATGATTTCACTCTGCTCTACTTTTTTTTGCTTATGGCTGGCACCCTACCACTTGGGCCATGCCACATGTCTAAGCTTTCCCCTGGTATGGCTTCAAACCATGATCCCAACCTCTTGAGTAGCTAGGATTACAGATCTGAGCTACCAGCTCCTGGTATCATTAATTTTACTTTCACATTCATATTTGTTAAAGGCCAAATGATGTATTAAGACTATATCAGTAAGTTCTGTTGTCTTGTTCAATTTGTCAAAACTGAATGTCTTGTCAATGTGTTGTATCCTGGGGACATTTTGTGGTTACTGCTTTTTCCAAACAAAGTAAAAGGGACTAGGAATATGGCTTAGTGGTAGAGTGCTTGCCTAGGATGCATGAAGCCCTGGGTTTAGTTCCTCAGTACCTAATAAACAGAAGGCCAGAAGTGGTGCTGTGGCTCAAGTGGTAGAGTGCTAGCCTTGAGCAAAAGAAGCTCAGGGACAGTGCCCAGGCACTGAGTCCGAGCCCCAGGACTGGAAGAAAAAGAAAAGAAAAGGAGGAAGGAAGGAAGGAAGGAAGGAAGGAAGGAAGGAAGGAAGGAAGGAAGGAAGGAAGGAAGGGAGGGAGGGAGGGAGGGAGGGAGGAAGGGAGAGATGGGAGAGAGGGAAAAAAGGTGAAAGTTGGCATGATAGTTTTGCAGCCAGTAACGGGCTTGAGTTTAAACAGAAAATCAGTAAGATAGTAACTATCTTTGCCCCTGTCCTAGTCTCTATACTGGCCCACCAACCCCACAAATTTAAGTGGAGTTTTACAGTGATATGATGTTAGTATTTGTCAGCATACATTTGAGGAGTGGTATGGTATTGGTGAATGATCAGTTCTAAAACAAAAAAAAAAATCATGATTCCTCTGCAGATATAAATGTGTGCATGTCAAGAAATGAAACAGAGGATGCTACAACCACTTCCCAGAGGTCAAAGAACCACCAGTTTCTATGCAAAAAAAGGAACAGCAAGTCACAGTTGCAGAAACTGGACTGTGTTGGTTGATCTTGTAACTGGATTCAACAAACTTGCATTGCTTTGGCTAACAACTATTTATAATTCTATCCATTTTCTATTAGTTAACTTCTGTCTTCATAGAATTGTAAAATAACCTAGTCAAAGACAGATGCATATATATAAACTTATATGTATAGATAGATAGATATGCATATAAAGTGAAGATACACACATCAAATTCAATTGTGAAATATATACTTGAGCACTTATGTGTAAGGCACTGTTTGAAGCTAGGCTTCAAACAGTAAATGAATAAAAGTAAAAGAAATTAGATAGAAAGATATCATGGAACCAGATAATTGATGGAGGTTCTAACATTTATTCCTTTGGCAGACTAGCAAATAATACTTTTATCACTTAAGTCTCATATGTTTTTCCTCACAGTAGCAATTATTCATTCATTAAAAATGAGGGCTGGGAAGGTGGCTCAGCGGTAGAGTGCTTGCCTTTCATGCATGAGGCCCTGGGTTCAATTCCTCAGCACCACATAAGCAGGGGAAAAAAAGCCATGGCTCAAGTGGTAGAGCGCTAGCCTTGAGCTGAAGAGCAGGCCCACGACCAGACCCCCCCCCCAAAAAAAGAAAATGAAGCTGCAGGTGTGGCTTAAGTCTTGGATCCTGAGGTCTTCTCCACTTTAGTTTTATGTGAATTTCCATTTCTGCTTCACAGTGACAGCCCATACAGTGAGCATGGTACACTGGAGGAAGTCGACCAGGATGCTGGCACAGAACCCCACACCAGTGAGGATGGTAAGGCCTTGGCTTATGCTGCTGGAAACCCTACTATCATTTCTTCTTTAACAATTAAGTTCCTAGGGCTTCTTAGTTTGGTTTGGCTTGGCTTTAGTTTTCTTTTTTTTGTTTGTTTGTGAGCGTACACTATATAAGAATTCTTGGTGGTCCTTTATTAGGTATATGTTTTGCAAATATCTTCTGCACTGAAGTTTTGCTTTAATTTTAATTTTAATTTTTTTATTTTGTTCGTGTGTGTGTGTGTGTGTGCGCGCGCGCACGTGCGCGGACTTGGGTTTGAACCCAAGACATGGGCACTGTCCCTTAACTTTTGTGCTCAAAGCTGAAGCCCTACCACTTGAGCCATACTTCTTGCTATTTGGTGGTTAGTTGGAAATAGGAGTCTCGTGGACTTCCTACTCGGCCTAGTTTTGAACCTTGATCCTCAGATCTCAGCCTGCTGAGTAACCGGGTTATAGGTGTAAACCACTAGTGTCCAACTTCCATCTTTTCTTCTGTCTTGGGTTTCCTTGTTTCTCTGTATGGTTCATTTCTTTTTCTCTTTGGACTTCACTGTTCTTTTGCTTTCTTCATTGGCAGGAACAGCCAAGGCAAAGGCCTGGCCATTTCTCTTCCCAAATATCAGTATCTCCACCATGACGTCTGTCAGTTATTCTTACCTCCTGACTATTAAAAGAGTAGCTTTGAGGGCTCTGTGTTTTAGTTATCATTTTGACCATGTTTACCTGATTTTGCAAGAAAGAGAAGGACAGATATTCTCACCCAGAGCCAACCTCCAAAATCCTAGATTAACTAGAATAAACTAATCTAAATGAACTAGAATATTGATTACCTTTTTGATTGATAGGTATTGGTAGTTCTTTTGTTTCATTTTGTTTTCTCTGACAGAATACCACTTGAGAGTGACCTTTGTCTTCAAGGTTGGTTGTCAGAACATCATTCTCTGTAAGGGAAATAGGTAACAGATCTAGAAAGAAAAGTAAAGTCCCCCAAAGAAAGTATGATGTTAGTATTTCATAGTAAAATTGCAGGAAATGGAAATGTAAGACTTAATAGAAATGTAAAGACTTAATAGCACCAGGTAGCCTGGTTATCAGGTTTGCTGATTTTTTTCCCCTTTGCACAAAATTGTAATAAGCCATGTTGGAAAATTAAGGACCGCCTTTACTACCGTTACAATTTACACCTGCAGATTCAGCATTCTGTAGGACCTTAAAGGACAGCATGATGCTCTTGTCTATGAAAAAGCTCTTGTGTGCCATGCCCTAGGATTGATTTGCCATACAATGCCTGGACTAAGCTGTGTGTAAATAGCTTATTGATTGACACTTGACTACGAAATGGGTCTCAAGAGAGTAGAAAGAGTCAAACTAATGAAACTGCTCAGAATTACTAGTTTATGTAGTAGGATTACCAATGAAATATTTTTTGATTCATCTGGCTGTTTTATTCATAACTGGTCCACATTTCCATAAAATAAGAGAATCTGATCTTCCTTTTGCTTGTTTTGAAAAGTAGTAATAAAAAGAAGAGATTATCTGAGGTCATGATTATGAAATTGTGATGACATATGTATATGTCTGTTAAGTTACCTTACATGGACCTTGACCAGCATCAATAGTGTATCACAGAATGCCACTAAAGACCATTAATATTGATCTCATTTCTCCATGGCATAATGTATAGAGACTGTAGGTCCTTGGGTGTAACCAGTATTTTTACTTTTTTTAGTAAAACCAAAAATGTGTGTGTGTGTTCATACAGGAATTTGCAAATTATACATCATGGAGTTATTTATAATGAATTAGCATGTCATTTCCCTGTTCATGTTTACTTCTGTCCTCCAGGGGAAACTGAAGTACAAATTTTGGTATCTTTCCTCTCAGATTAACCAGAACTCCTTCTTTATCTACAAGTTTAGAACAAACAAAAAGTCATTGTGTTTAAATGTAATATTGTATCTCCTTCTCTATGAGGTAAACTTGTACATATTTAATGAAGCTGTTACTATATTATTTTAACAAGATTTTATTAAATTTTATTAAATATGAGAATTTATTAAATGTGAGAATACTGTTAACACATGTTAGCAAATAATAGTTGTTGGAAGACAAACTTGTTTTACATGCAAATTATAGTGTGGTACTATGAAGTAGCTAAAAGATAACACATTTTTCCTTGTTTTGAAAATGTTTTGCTAAAATTTACATGGGCCCTTCATCCAAGGTAAAACGTAAACTTTCTTGATGTTGAGTTTTGTGCTTTTATTTATCTCAAGGTTTCTGTGTGTGTGTGTGTGTGTGTGTGTGTGTGTGTGTGTGTGTGTGTGTATGTGTGTGTGTGTGTGTGTGTGTGTGTGTGTGTGTGTGTACCAGTACTGGGGTTTGAACTCAGGGGCTTGAGCTCTTGCTGGGCATTTTCACTCAAGGCTGGAGCTCATGTAGTAAGGTAACTTCCAGCTTTTTGCTAATTAATTAGAAATGAGTGTCTTGGGTTTGTCTGCCCAGGCTGGCATTGAACCATAATCCTCAGATTCTTGAGTAGCTACAACTGCAGGCATGAGTCACTGTGTCTGGGAATTTTGAGGAAGGAATGAGTAGGAGATTTCCCTGCTCTTAGGAAATTTTGATTTATTAAGTGAGAAACAAAAAGCTTAGCTATCTTTACCTAAAATTTTCTCATGTTATTCTTATATATACAAACAACAGGTATTACGGTAAAGTTTTTGAAAAATCACCTCTTTTAAGTGGGAAAATTTGTTACTAAGGGAAATAGAAAACAAGTGTCAGAGAGGAAAACTCTGATCTGTAATTTGTACACATATGTGTTTTGAAATTAATATACTCAGTGTTTAGGGAATAAGGTTTTGCTCATTGTGCAGACAGATCTATATAAATATATGCCCCTTTTTAGTGTGTGTGTGTGTGTGTGTGTGTGTGCATGCGTGTGTGCATGCGTGTGTGCGTGTGTGCATGCCTGCCCATCCAGGGGCTTGAACTCAGGACTTGGGCATTGTTCCTGAGCTTTTTGTGCTCAAGGCTAGTGCTCTATCATGTGAGCCACACTTTTGCCTTTTCCTTTTAGTTGTTAATTGAAGGTAGGGGTCTCACAGACGTTCCTACTCAGGCTGGTTTTTGAAACACAACCCTTAGATCTTAGCCTCCTGGATAGTTCAGATTATAAGCATGAGCCACAGGTGCCTGCTTCCCCCTTGCTCTTTTTATTTCTGTTCATTACTGAGTAGAAGTTTTACTCCCCTGTATTGATGTCAGGGATAAAGACGAGATGAAAGACTATAAGCCCTGCATTGAGGATATTTTTGCAATAAATTGGATCATGAAAAGTCAGTCCCATAGTGATTTAGCTTGTCCTCTTGTTGTCCTTCAATATTTGGTTGAATTTCAGCTCAATTCCAGTTTTAGGTCAAGAGTTCAGGGCTTTTTTTTTTTTAATGTTTTATTTTAAGATCATGGTAGACTTATGTGCAGTTGTAAGAATACAGAGAGATCTTGTCTACTGTCTCCCTATTTCTCTCAGTGGTAATCATACTTCACTGTGCTGTATCACAATCAGGAAATTGGTGCTCATACAACCCATCCACCATATTCACATTTCAACAGTTTTACATGCATTCATGTATGTGTGTTTGTGGGTGTGTGTGCTTGCTTAGTTCTCTATAGTTTTGTCATGTGGACAGATTTCTGTGACCACAGTCCTAGTCAAGATAAAAGAATAGTTCCATTGCCAGAGTTCCTATGCTGCCCTTATAGCCACAGCCGCTCCTTCCATTACCTCCCTACCAACCCACTGACAATTACTCATCTATTCTCCATGTCTCTAATTAGACCATTTAAAGAACACCACGTAGATGGAATTATATATAGCATGCAACCTTCTAAGACTTTTTTTTCACTCAATATCTTTTCTCCTTTTAACATTTTTTGTTTTACTTACTTTATTTTTCATTACTTTTAAGTAATTGTACAAAAGGGTTTCAATTCAACATGTTAGCACATTATCCTTTCATCTCTAGAAAATAGGATTTTTTGAATCTGATATTTTAATAAGAAGATCTAAAATTTGTATTAATGTGAGAGAAAAAGTTATTACTTTGGGTGACCATTTGAAGATCTGACAATTCCAAAAAAAAAGCTTATGAGGAAATTAAAAATATTCAAATAGGATTTATAGTTCTGACTTCACTTGACTTTAATATAGTTGGACACTAGTGGCTCATACATATAATCCAAGCTACTCAGGAGGTGAGATCTGAGAATCGTGGTGCGAAGCCAACATGGAAAAGTTTGTGATACTCATCACCAGTTAACTACCAAAACTCAGAAACAAAAAGCCAGACGTGGAGCTGTGGCTCAAGTAGTAAAGCACTATAGCCTTGGATGAAAAAGCTAAGGGACAGTGTTCCTCAGTCCTAAGTTCAAGCACCAAAAAATAAATACTAAATTGGCATTTTCATTTCTTAAGAAGCCTCACATAGACCTTTCCAAGTGTGTTTGATGCCTTCCTAACAGCCCTGCCCTTGTGTTCATTGTAGAGTGTGAGCCAATCGAAGCAATAGCCAAGTTTGACTATGTGGGCCGGTCCGCCAGAGAACTGTCCTTCAAGAAGGGAGCTTCGCTGCTGCTGTATCACCGCGCATCTGAGGACTGGTGGGAAGGCAGGCACAACGGCATCGATGGGTTGGTGCCTCACCAGTACATAGTGGTACAGGATATGTGAGTAGTTCCAGCTTCTGTTACCTTAGGACACCAGCTCTTGTTCCTAACTTTAGTTTTAGAGAGAAAAAAAAAAAGGAACAGAGAAAAAGCTTAGTTGTTCACCTTCCTAGTGATTCTGCCGCTAACAGAACTTTAGGACTCAGCCCACAGGTATTCATGTCCCACCCTTGATCAAGAGGCTTGCTTAGAGCCACCAGCTGTGGAAGACATGTTTTGAAACTTTTGGGTTCTTAGAAAAATAACATCTGCAGAGAAGGGACTTGGAAAGCTGAAGTGACATTGGTGATTCCCAAAACAGCTGTGTTGTCTTTCAACGTCTGCTACTTTTTGCAATCCCAGATTCCCAAGATGGGGAGTAAGTGATTTACAGCCTTAGCGAAATCACCTCTGGGAGATGGTGGTTGCTTTACCTTTGCTGCAAGGAAGTTCTGATTTCAAAAATATTTAAAGATATGGGAAGATGGACATAAGAAGCAACAGAAATGGTTATAAAGTAATATATACAGTATATATCCAATATAGTCTATATTTTCTAATGATATTACACAACCTATTACCAATGGAAGAGAGCTTTTCAGTGGGAAGAAAATATGTTACATAAAATGTATACAATAACTTCAGTGATTTAGCAGAATCTTAGAAGTATTAAAATATATAGGTGAATAGCAAAAAATACTATGAATATGTATAGACATAGAGCTATACATATACAAAGTAAACACATAAGTGTTTACTTTGAGACCTAAATAATATAGATTCAGATGCACACACTCATAGATATGTGTTATATGACTAAGAGAAAAGCATAGAGGAATGTTTCCTAAGATTCTAATCCTTGAAGTCTCTCTGGACATTATAAGTGATTTTTTTTTTTTTGGTTGGACGTGGGTCTTGAACTCTGGGCCTAGACACTGTCCCTCAGCTGTTCAGCTCAAGGCAAGGGCTCTACCACTTGAGCCACAGTGCTACTGCTAGTTTTCTGGTGATTAACTTGAGATAAGAGTCTCACAGATTTTCCTGCTCAGGCTGACTTTGAAAACAATCCTCAGATCTCAGCCCTCCTGGGTAGCTAGGATTACAGGCATGAGCCACCAGTGGCCAGCTTATAAGTGATTCTTATTTCACTCCTTTTTTATATCTGACCTTTTCAATTGCTCTTAGCAAAATTGCATTGTGTTGATAATGCAAAGCTGCATTAATGAAAGACTTACATTCATAAATGTCATCCCTTATTTCCTTTGTCTCTGCTCATCCAAACCCTGACTCTCGATTCTCCTTTTTTTTAGGGATGATACATTTTCAGACACTCTGAGCCAAAAAGCAGAAAGCGAGGCCAGTAGTGGGGCAGTCACTGAAGACAAGTCTTCATCTAAGGATATGAACTCCCCAACAGATCGTCATTCTGATAGTTATTTAGCCAGGTAAGTAAAGTCTGCCAATCAGACTCCTAGCCCTGTTCTTTTCCAGGAACCGTGAGAAGCCACCATCCCCTCAACCTCGCACTGTTACCCAGGGTGATGAGCTCTCCTATTTCTCTTTCTATGGATGTCTAGACAAAGAAAAAGAGGAGAACCACCCCCTCCAGGGAGACGTCCTGGCAGGACCAGTGATGGCCATTGTCCCCTTCATCCCCCGCATACTCTCTCCAACTCTTCAGTTGACCTGGGGTCCCCAAACCTAGCCAGTCACCCCCGAGGCCTGCTGCAGAACCGTGGCCTCAACAATGATAGCCCTGAGAGGAGGCGTCGGCCGGGCCACGGCAGCCTGACCAACATCAGCCGGCATGACTCTCTCAAGAAGATCGACAGCCCTCCCATCCGGAGGTCCACGTCATCAGGACAATACTCAGGCTTCAGTGACCACAAGCCGCTGGACCCAGAGTCAATTGCTCAGGTACAATGCTTTTCTTGGAATATTACATTTAAATCCCTGGATATGAGGGTAGAAAAGTGGAAGATTTATGCTCCATAGCTGTGTTTTTAATATAATCAACCTAACCAGACAGGAAAGAAATGGCTCATTTCTTTTTGGAGAGACTGGGTTTTTGAACCCAGGGTTGTGTACTTGCTACACGGGTTTATTACCACTTGAGCAATGCCTCCAATCCAAAATAACTAATTCTTTAAGGCCTGGTTGTCTCATCTGAAGAGACCAGTATTGATTTAAACAGCAATATGACAGGAAGACAGCAGGTAGGACATTCAAACCTGGCATTGGAAAACAGCCAGGAAAATATGGGAAAAGAAAAAGAGAAGGGCTGGGAAGGTGGATTAGTGGTAGAGTGCTTGCCTAGCATGCATGAAGCCCTGGGTTCAACTCCTCAGAACCACATAAACAGAAAAGGCCAGAAGTGGCGCTGTGGCTCTAGTGGTAGAGCACTTGCCTTGAGCTGAAGAGCTGAGGGACAGCTCCCAGGCCCAGAGTTCAAGCCCCAATGGCCAACAAAAAAAAAGGATAACTGGGGCTGGGAAGATGGCTCAGTGGTAGAGCACTTGCCTTGCATGCCTGAGGCCCTAGGTTTGATTCCTCAGCACCACATAAGCAAAAAGAAAAAAGCCGGAAGTGGCACTGTGGCTCAAGTGGTAGAGCGCTAGCCTTGAGCTGAAGAGCTGAGGGACAGCGCCCAGGCCCAGAGTTCAGGCAGGCCCCACGACCGGACCAAAAAATAAATAAATAGACAAAGTAAATTAAGAACAACACTATGAATGAATTACCATTTTGCCTCCTGGATTTTTCTTTTTTATAGCACAGGATATCAGAAAATAAATGTATTTTACAAATAGTGACAAAGGAGGTATATAGATTTAAGGATTTGGCAATAGAGTAATCAAAAACATCCTTCACGCCGGGCACTGGTGGCTCACACTTGTAATCCTAACTACTCAGGAGGCTGAGATCATGGGGTAGCAGTTGAAGCCAGGCAGGCAGGAAAATTTGTGAGACTCTAATCTCCAATTTCTACCAAAAAGCTAAGAATAGAGTGGTTCAAGTGGTAGAGGATCAGTCTTGAACAAAAAAGCTAAGGGGCAGTGACCTGAGTTCAAATACACACACACACACACACACATATATAGAAAAAAATTTCCATTTTTCAGCTATCACTGAAACTTAAAAACTACCTAAACAGCTCAAAAAAAAAAAAAAAATACGAATGAGAAGCCCAGCACCATAGTTCACCCCTGTAATACCAGCTACTCAGGAGGGCGAGATCTGAGGATTGCAGTTCAAAGCCAGCCAGGGCAGGAAGGTCCATGAGACTCTTATCTCCAATTAACCTCCAGAAAACCAGAAGTGGTGCTGTTGCTCAAGTGGTAGAGTGCTTGCCTTGAGCTGCAGATCTGAGGGACAGTGCTTAGGCCAGAGTTCAAGCCTTATGACCAACAGAAGAAGAAAAAGAAAAGAAAATGAATGAGAAATTAAGGAAAATATTAATACTGATTCCTCTTAATAAAAAATACCCAAAGAAACCTGTCCTGATATGACATTTTCCCAAGCTATTTTGAGTATTCTAATGAAAGAGAATTTTTTAGGGTAAATTAGATTTTATGATGAGTTTGATGTCATTTTTTAAGAAATAAATGAATTTTAAGTCCAATTCCTTAGTTAAAAAATAAATAAGGCTTTTGACTTTTTGAGTTCTTTTTGTTTACAATGCTATGCAAAGCCCTTTGAGACATATTTAGAGCCAGTGATATTTGATTATAGGTGAATTTAATGATTTGAGGAATCCATAACATCATATGCTCATAATAAGCAGGTGGAACATGATTTAGGTTAAAGAAAAAGAGATTCAGGAGCTCCAGAGTAGGAAGGAATAAGAAGGGTTTTTTTTTAATCCTTTTGAATCAGGAAATCCCTTTTTCTTTCTTCACATTTTTTAAAATTTTGTTGTAAAGGTGATGACTATGTTACAGTTACATCAGTAAGGTCATGAGTACATTTTTTTTTTGTTTTGGTTTTGTTTTTTTTTTGGGTCCCGTTGTGGGGCCTGAACTCTGGGCCTGGGCGCTGTCCCTCAGCTCTTCAGCTCAAGGCTAGTGCTCTACCACTTGAGCCACAGTGCCACTTCCGGCTTTTTTCTTATGTGGTGCTGAGGAATCGAACCCAGGGCCTCGAGCATGCAAGGCTAGTGCTCTACCACTGAGCCACCTTCCCAGCCCGAGTACATTTTTTTTTTTGAATAGTGTTATCCCCTCCCTCACTGTTATATTGGTTCATTCTTTGTCCCACTATTTCTGTGATTCCCTTTCCCTTTCTGTCTTGTATATAAGGAAATCCCTTTCTTATAAATCATAAAAGCTAAAACTCGGTCCAAGCATGGTTAGTGTATTCCTGTACTCCTAGCTACTTAAGAGGATGATATTGGGAGGATCATGATTCAAGACTAGCCTAGGCAAAAAGTTAGTAAGACTTTATCTCAACAAATCAGTATGGTGACTCATACCTTTCATCTCTGTTATGTAGTAGAAGGACCATGGTACAAGGCCAACCCCAAGCAAAGATTTGTAAGACCCTATCTGAAAAATAACCTTAATAAAACCCAAAAGGTTGGGAATGGCATGACTCAGTGGTAGAGCATTTGCCTAGCAAACACAAACAAGGCTCTGAGTTTAAATACGAGTACCACAAAATTTTAAAAAGAAAGGAAGGAAGGAAGGCAAGCAAGCAAGCAAGCAAACAAGAAAGAAAGAAAGAAAATTCAACCAATTCTACATATTCTGGGGCAAATTCTCTTGAAATTTTCATATTTTTTAGGCACATATGAAAGTAATCACTGGTAAAATGATATCACCATCACAAAATGTGCTTTGTTCTTCTTTATCTTTCCATCTCTAGTCTTCAGATTTTCCCATGAGAATGAATGTGTTCACATGGTGTATTCACATCATGTGTTCACTGATTGAATGACTGCCTCTTCTATAACAGTCATTTCCCTGGGAGCAGGATTTTGGAGAACTCCTAAGGCTCCTTCAAAGGCTAGTTAGTGCTCTAAAATTATTTGTTGAGTAGATGAAACCTAATTTTTCATTCCTATTTATAGTTATTCCTTGAATAAATATATTATTAGGATGTGATATTCAAATAAATATATTTCTTCTAATTTTTAAAAATTAGTTTAATTTGTATATTTATTCTGACCTGTTGAGACAAGTTCTCACTATGGAGCCCCGCTATCTTGTAGCTCAAATGCTCCCACCTTGTACTGTAATTACAGGCAGATACTACCACTCCAGCACTTCCGCATCTGAATTTAAGGAAGCCTTTACTATAAGTTGAAATAGAATCCTATATGAATAAGTCAGCATGCCAAGTAGAGACTACCAAAAGTTGACTTGGTATCTTAGAATGACAACTATTTGATGTATGGTTCCATGAGCCATGGCATCTTGAGCTCCAGAACATTTTGAGTCAAGCTAATTGCACGAGCTGGCATTATGTTTATCTTCTCCTCTATAGACTATTAAGTTCAAATATTCATACTCTTGGTTGGCCTGTCTGCTCTGAAATGAAATATATGGGTTTCTATATATTGGTCTTATCAGTCCACTCTCTTTCTGATTATTTTCCAATAGGATATTGAAGAGACAATGAACACTGCTTTGAATGAACTCCGTGAACTAGAGAGACAGAGTACGGCAAAACATGCCCCCGATGTGGTGCTGGATACCTTGGAACAAGTGAAAAACTCTCCCACCCCAGCCAGTTCCACGGAATCTCTCAGCCCTTTGCACAGCGTTGCCCTCAGGAGCTCAGAGCCTCAGATTCGGCGCAGTACCAGCTCCTCCAGTGACACCATCAGTACTTTCAAGCCAATGGTGGCACCCAGAATGGGTGTGCAGCTGAAGCCCCCAGCCCTTAGGCCGAAACCAGCTGTGCTTCCAAAAACAAACCCTACCATAGGACCTACTCCACCTTCGCAGGGTCCAACAGACAAGTCTGGCACCATGTAAAAACCTGTAAGGTCATTAGGGGAGGTGGCTTAAAAGAGAAAACGGATTAGTGACAAAAGTCAAAGATCCGTAACTTTCCTTAGTTCTGTGCTTATGATAACTGGAGATCTTTTGGCTTTTCTATGTTGTCGAATGTAATGTCTGAAACTAGTTAAAATTAACACGGGCATTTTGTAAATTTTTTTAAGTAACTGGACATATGTCATTTTAAAGACAATTAGAATCACTTAGACTTACTTGAAAACTCCAATGCTGCAGCACTTGTCATGAAGGTAACACTGCTCCCTGCATTCTACACTGCTCCATATTTAGTGTAGTCCAAGTGAGTCTCCTAAAAGCAGGAGAATCCAAGTTCCAGGTTGGTAACATCGGGAAACAAGCTGGAAGGTGATCCTGCATCATTTGGTAGCTGATAGTGAGTACCTGCTCCCACGCAAGCCAGGGTCCAATTCCTGCTAGACTTGCCATTGGCACAAGGAGATGATCCAGTGGGACCAAGGTTTGGATAGATTGAAAGATGGCCTCCTCCCTAACAGTCATTTCCCTGGGTCCAGGTTAAACCTGTTGGGAGGGGTTAGAAATTCACAGTTGTTGCTTGAACTGAACTTGGGGAAGGAGAGAATGGCACTGTCTCCAAAGCTATTGATGTTACCCTCTCCATGAGGTCCTAAAAGTTTCCAAACCCATCCACTGCATTTGCAAACTCCTATAATGCTCTGTTCTTCAATAACTGCCTAGGGACAAAAACACAATATTCCTAAATCCCTGGGCTCTCCTCTGTGGCACTAAAGAAAGCAAACAGGATGTGAATCCTAGAATCACTATATTCTTCTCTAGCTAAATTATCTTGCTTCCTTCAGGCCACAAAGGCCTGATGATCCTAAATTTAAAATCCCAACTCCTCTCTCCCTTTCTCTCTTTGAGCCAATCCATACTGGCTATGGTACTTGAATAAGAGGAGGCCAGGCCATCATGGGAAGATTACCTCATGGTCCCAGGAATTCCCTTCCAGTGTCATACGTCAGAACCATGATTTTTTCTTTTCGTGTTAGTGTCTGGTCTTGTTTTGTCTGTTTTGTTGTTTGCTTGTTTTTTCTTCTTTGACTGAAGTCTCTAATTTAGTCAGTTGAGCTCAGATAGGGACCTTCTTTTTTTTTTTTTTTTTACCCTCTTCGTACATAGATAGGTTTGGTTTTTCTTTCGCCCGTATTTTTGCCATATTTATTTCTTCTCAATCTTAAAAGAATGTGGAATTTTTTGTCTCGTTTTGTTTTTCTTCGTTTTGGTGCTGGGGATTAAAAGTAGGGCCTCCTGTATGTGAAGCACACTTTCTACCACTGAGCTACACAGCCACCTCTCCAAAAATTATTCTGAATACAGTTATTTTCACTAAGGTACAAATCACCAGTGTCTGATATCTGCACACCTATGATCATTTCAGCTGCACTGTCACTGAACTTCCCCATGAAGAAAAATGGATGCCTCAGCACAAATCCCTTTGACCACCGTGGATTACCTTCTAAGTTTAAACTGGCAGCCTACCTAAAAGTTGGTGCCCTATGGGCTTTAATTCATCAGCCCAATGGTGAATGCAGAAAAGAATCCGAATTTATGCTAAAATCAAGATTATTACTTTGGTCTCTACCTCAGTTTTCCAGTCTATACATTCTATTGAACAAAGAGATTAATGAAATAATATTTCCTCTGGTTTCTTGGTCAGCCTAATTTGAAAAATGGATTGAATGGTGGTTTGGATCCTCTCCGTCCCCTTCCCTCCTCCCCCAAGGATGTCCAGGTATGGTAAAGTTTTCAGAACCATTCTTGTTGCGCATTTTGAAAAAGTGGTCACGGAGACTCCACCAGGACTGAGTTTTCAATAGCACTGAGCCTTTTAAACAAGCCTCTCCAAGGTTCTGTGGAAGTTGAAACTTTCCTAAATAATCCCCCAGGTGGTTAAAATAATAACAATAATGAGGATTCCTCTTTCATGAGAACATCGGATGTTAAGAGAAGGCGCAAGAAAGACAAAGGTGTTTTGAATTTGTTTTTAAATGACTTCACCTGCTTTCATGTTCGCTTTTTTGGATCTTACTTTCGCAAGCTTATTCCATCAGACATCTCTCTGGCAGTCCTCCTCAGGGTTTCTTCTCTTTGGTATGTCCATCTATGCCTCTCTGCCCCTTACATCAGGACTCTGCTACCTTTGGATGATGGAGAACATGCTGCTGAAGATCCTTGGAGCTTCCATGGCTGTGTCTTCTTTCAGGACACAACTCCTACTGGATTTCCTTTGCTCCCTATCTACCTGTCTCCATCATTTCTCCCTATAGTATTATTACCTCCAAGCATTTTTCCCCTCTCAATTGTAAATGGAGGCTGTGACCTTCAAGTGAATCCTCACCTATTCTTCCATTGTTTAGCAATCATCCGTGAATTTACAGAGGTAAGATGGACACTCCATCAATGATCTAGACATCCTGTCAAGCTGCCAGCAGCTGGCACATGACCTTTCTTAGGACCACAAGTGCAGCAAGAAGAGGAAAGGCACAAGGAAGAGAGTGAGGAGGAAGAAGAATGAGCTCTGGAGATGTTACTCCTTCCTGGTTCAAGGGTCTTTGCAGTGTTCTTGGTGGTTTAGGGAGAGAATCATTTTAATGATGGTAAACTATGGTTCTAGGAAGATTGCCCAACTCCCCCTACATTGGCATATGTGTTCATCGCTAATGGAACTGTATGTTCCCACCTATCACTGTCATAGAGTACCAGATCGGCTTTTGGTTTGGGTTGGGGGGCTTGAGGAGTGGATTGTGAGGGCAGAGAGTAAGGTACTTAATGCATGTTTCCTGGAGTGTTTTATAAACTCTTTCCAACTGTTAAGTGGCACTTTTTTTAAAGTTATCTTTTATTATCTTTAGTTACACAAGGGAGTAATAGGTAGCACTTTTTAGAGCACCATGGTCTTCAGTGTCAACACCACTGTTCCACAGCTTTACATGTCTTGGAGAAACTTTTAATGCCCCTGGAGACTTCCATAGAGTAATTTACCAAAGTCCCACTTAACTTACCACACTGAGAATAAACAACTATCAATGAATATAGAGTTCCAAGGGTCAAATTGTGTCCTTCAGGAGTTTTCTGTGTATTTTTTTTCCATTCCTAAAATGGATTTATAATTTAATTATAAGAAAGAAGTGCTGGGCACCGGTGGCTCACGCCTATAATCCTAGCTGCTCAGGAGGCTGAGATCTGAGGATCATGGTTCAAAGCCAGCCCGAGCAGGAAAGTCTGGGAAACTCTTATCTCCAATAGACCACCAGAAAACCAGAAGTGGCACTGTTGCTGAAGTGGTAGAGCACTATCCTTGAGCTGAAGAGCTAAGGGACAGTGCTCAGGCCCAGAGTTCAAGCCCCATGACCAACAAAAAAAAAAAAGGAGAAAGAAAGAAAGACAGACAGAAAGAAAGAAAGAGAAGTGATAGGTTGGTAGTGCTATCCTTAGCATTTAGAAATAACATAGCTTCTCAAATCTATGAGCCGAAGAAACCATAATCTATTCATTAGAGTCTCTGAAATCTAAAGTTATAAAGCCTATGGTTTGGACCAGGCATGGTAGTTCAATCCCACCTACTCTGGAGAGTAGAAGTAGTGGCAAAAAGCATGAGACTGATCTAAAAGCAAACTAAAGCTAAAAGTTCTGGGTTTATGGTACAAGTAGGAGATCGTGAATTCAAACCATAGTACCACCAAGGGTGGGGTAGCCTATGAGACTATTAAGGGGCATTAGAAGATGTGTTATTTGGGCTGATACATATTCCTGACCACAGCAGTAAGACGCCAGTTATGCAGAAGATGCATTTGGGACTTCATCTTGCTTTCAGTTCACCACAGAGACACTGGGACACGAAGCAGCTTAGCATTGAAGGCTCTATCCACATGTAAATAGAACCCCCTACTCCAAGCCACCCCTGGGTCAATACCCCAAGCTCCAGCTGGGCTGGAGCATTAAGGGTTTCATGTGGGGTGACTTTGACACAAATAGATAAAAACAAGCCTGAATTTGAGCTTTCACTTACCCTAATATACTTCCTGGAAAAATACAATAGTCTATGTGGTATAATCAAGATGGGTACCTGTATCTTTAAATTACGTAGGGATTTTTGTATGTTTAAATAATTGTCTTGGGTTCCATAATGCTTATCTTAGAAACTGTTTAGTAAAAGAAAACTATATAAACCGTGCATATGTGAATGCCCACCTTAGAGCATTCATGCAAGTTCAATGTGTAGTGTGATGGCTATTATAGATATTTAAAGTAGAGTAAGTGACTGTGTAACAGGAGAGACTGCTATTTACCTGCGTACCTAAGGGTGACTCCTTGCCCACATAATTAAATCAGTATTGTCCTTTCCTGTCATTTGATCAATTGCAGTACTGGTAGCTTCCCGCTTGTGACTGTTACCTAATTGTGTCAATGTACATCTGTAGTATGTACATGTGAAAGTGCCTTTCTATTTTAGAGGAGTGTAGTATTGCTCTTGTACTGTTACCCAATCTATGCCCCACCCACGTCCTCTTTTCCCTCATTCCTGTTGCCCCCCTGCGTGTTTTGGAACTTCTCTGCCCTCTTCTCCATCCCCACCTATCTGGGCTTTGGTGCTCAGTCTTGTGTGTCTTGCATTCTAGTCTCAATCATCAGACTGTCTCGTTTTCCTTGTAGACGTGACTGTGCCTTTCTCTCCCAGCAGTGCCTCCCCCAACCCCATCCTCCCATCTCATACCCGTCCACACCCCACTAGGCATTGCTGACTGCCATTGTGTTCCCCAGGCTCTAGACTGCCTCTGACCATTTCATCCCTCCTCTCTGAGGCAAAGATAAAGGGGGATGGCTTTACAGTTCTGGAAAAAAAAAAATGTTTTGTTAACCTGTCGTGACAATGCACTTTTATGTATAGTACTGTACATTTTGGCATGTACCATTACAGGCTTCAGTATACAGTCGGGTTTGTTCTTCACGGTGTATCTTTATAATAAATATGATAGTTCTGGTCACCTCTGTCTGCTTACACTTTGGTGTGATTCTCTGTGGTGTCTTTGTTGCTTTCATTTTCCTCATCACTCTATCCCTTCCCCCTAAGAAGTGGGTTGTACTCAAGAATATGACATTAGAAACTTATTGGTGCTGTTGTTGGGTCTTGAACTCAAAGCCTGAGTGCTGTCCCTAAGCTTTTTTGCTTAAGGCCGGGACACCTACCACTTGAGCCTCAGCTCCAGTTCCTGCTTTTTGGTGGCTAAGTGGAGATAAGAGTCTGACAGACTTTTTTGCCTGTACTGGCTATGAATCACAAGCCACAGATCTCAGCCTCCTGACTAGCTAGGATCACAAATGTAAGCCAGTGGCACCTGACTTAATATTTCATTTCTGTTCACATGTTTGAAAGTGAGGTGTCAACTCACAAAGCCTTGTCCAAGGAACTGTTTGTTCCAGAATCACGGTCTGGGGAGTCCCAAGGAGTGGGAGAGGGGAGAGTCTTTGCTGAAAGGCTGAAGACAGTGACCCTCAATATGTAGGGGTTGACATGTTTCCTTAGAGAGGAACTCACTGGCAAAAATTAAACTTGCCAAGCTGGTCTTACATTTCATTTGAGTATGTTCACCATTGACTCTGTTTTAGAATTCCCAGATATGGATGTTTTCTCAAATGTGAAAAAAGTTCACTCGAGGTCAAGCAATATATAATACATACTTTTGCAAAACTGTATCAATTGTGTGCCACATTGAACATGTAGAATTTTTAAAATGACAGTTAAATCAAAATTAACTTTTTTTTTGTCTGTCATGGGGCTTGACTCAGTGCCTGGCTTGTGCTCTTGTGCTCAAGGCCAGCACTCTGCTACTTTGAGCCACAACACTACTTCCAGTTTTCTAGTGGTTAATTGGAGTTGGTCTCACAGACTTTCCTCACCTGGGCTTCAAACCCTGATCCTCACACCTCAGCCTAATGAGAAGCTAGGATAACAGGTTTGAGTGCCCAACCAAAAATAACTTTTGGTATAACTAAAAACAGTACAGAAAAGCACACTAACTAGGGGTGTGGTAGAGCGTGTGCTTACCATGCAAGAAAGAGGCCCAGGGCTCAATCTCCAGAACAAAAAAAGAAGGAAGCAAAAAGTTAGAAAAAGAAAAGAACAAATAAAATCAAAGTAGGTACCGTCTAGGTCAAGGAATAACAGCTGAATGCTGGTCGCTGACATCTATAATCAAATCCTAGCTAAGATTTGGACAATCACAGTTCAAAGCCAGTGTGGCCAGAAGGTCTATGAGACTCCATTTCCAAAGGACTCAGCAAAAAGCTGTGCTGGAGGCCTGGCTCAAGGGGTAGAGCATAAGTCAAGCAAGATAGCCAACAGAGCAAATATGAGGCCTTAAGTTCAAACGACAGTATTGAAACTAAAAGTCAGGAATGGAGAGAGGGTAGAGGGAGGGAGGAAAGGGAAAAAAGAAAAATGACACTTTGAGGTTTGAAGCCTTTGATGGATTCCATGCAAAAGGAAGGTGAAAGAGAGAGAGAAAGAAAAGAGAAAGAAAGAAAGGAAGGAAGAAAGAAAGAAAAAAAGAAAGGAAGGAAGGAAGAAAAAGAGAAAGAAAGAAAAGGAGGAAATAAAGCGAGGGAAGGAAGGAAGGGAGAAAGGGAGGGAATAAAGAAAAAAGAAAAGACAGGGAAAGAAAAGAAAGGAAGGAAAGAAAGAAAAAAAGGAAGGAAAGAAGAAAGGAGAGAGCCACATAGGTTAAGATTTGAAATACAAATTACAATCTGCATTTTTACTGTGTGCCAAAGATTATTATTGAAGTATTGATTGAATACTTGCAGCTGCATTGTGAGAAAAGGAAAAAGAAAGCTTAAATAAGCTCAAATATATTACTTGATCCTACCTCAAACTCAGCTGCTAGACTTTAACAGATTACCAATCCATGTCTCAGTCTCCTCAACAGAAATAATCCACAGGGGAGTTTTCACTCAAATTACTTTCGACCCCTTACACTATGCTTATTTTTAGATGAGCTGATTTCATGACTGGTATAGAATTGTGTGTCTTTATTGGGTTTTTTTTGCTCCATCACAGTAGTTCACATTAGAAGTCTTAGGAAATGCTACTCTGTGGAGGGTTTTGTTGTTGTTTGTTCTTTTTTGTGATACTAGGGTTGAAACACAGGGACTTGCATATAATAGGCAAGAGCTCAACCACTAAGCTGTATCTCCAGTCTAGGACAGAGATGCCATAACTTATTTCATTATTTTCCTATCATTATGGGAGCCTGTTTGCATATTCTTCACTCTCCATGTGCAATCTGTTCTACTTCCTTTTATCTCCACTTTAACCTAGTTTTATGCTCCACTCCCCTTTGCCTCCACTATGACAGTGATCCAGCATCTTTGCCTTGAATTCATATATAGAACTCAGGGCTTTGGTGCTGTACTTGAGCTTTTTGCTTAAGACTAGTGTTCTACCACGTTGAGCCACAATTCCACTCTGGTTCTGGTGGTTAATTTGAGATTAAGAGTCTCACAGACTTTTCCACCTGGGCTCGCTTTGACCCACAATCCCTAGAGCTCAGCCTCCTGAGTAGTTAGGATTACAGCTGTGAGCCTTTCCTTCCTCCCCTTTCAGCTCATCTTTAAAAGACAAAGAAACAGTTGGGCACTGGTGGCTCACAGCTTTATAATCCTAGCTACTCAGGAGACTAAGATTTGAGGCTTATGGATCAAAGCTAAACCCAGCAGGAAAGTCCATGAGATTCTTTTTTTTTTGCCAGTCCTTGGCCTTGAACTCAGGGCCCTGGGCACTGTCCCTGAGCTTCTTTTGCTCAAGGCTAGCACTCAACCACTTGAGCCATAGCACCACTTCTGGCTTTTCTGCTTATGTGGTGCTGAGGAATCGAATTGAGGGCTTCATGCATGCTAAACAAACACTCTACCACTAAGCCCTAAACCACATTCCCAGCCCATCCATGAGATTTTTATCTCCAATTAAGCACCAAAAAGCCCAAGTGCAGCTGTAGCTCAAATGGTAGAATGCTAGTCTGAGCAAAAAGAGCTAAAGGACAGTGCTATGTTCCTGAGTTCAAGTCCCAGTACTACAGGTATATACATATGCACATATGCCCATATGTGTGTGCACACACACACATGTGCACAAAAAGAAAAATGAAATTGCTGAAAGTATACCATATA